AAAATCCTCAGGCTGATGGAAAGCTCCCAACTAAGTGTGGTTGCAGGAGAGGCCGTCCACTGGGATGACGATGAACGCATCTTCCTTGCTCAGACCACTGCTGGACCCATAGAAGCAGCATACGTGATCGAAGCGACTGGGCAAGAGTGCCATCTTGATCGGATTCCATCGCCGCTTGTCCAGTCCGCTGTCCGAAAGGGATTATTCACGCCACACCCGATGGGTGGGGTTGACGTCGACTTCGACACCCTCTGTGCATCAACCCCTGGCCTATACACGATGGGCTCGCTGACACGCGGCACGCATTTCTACGTCAGCGCCATCGATCGAACGGCAGCCCACGCGGCTCGCATTGCTGACGCACTGGTTGGGGAGCCCCCTGCCAGACCTTTACACATTGCTATCTTTCTCGGCTCAGACGTGGCCTCCCACCTGATGGCCAGTGACTTGGTTCCCCGGCTGTTGGCCGAGGGCCATATGCCTTTCCTGTTCCTGACATCCAGCACGGAGACACCTCCCATGGCGGCGCCTGATAGTGGGCCTTTCGATTTGCGCAAGCTAGCATTCTTCGAACGCGAGCTTTTCCGCAAACATCTCAGTCCCAGGCTCAAGGAATACGGTTTTAAGGGCACACGGCACATGACTGTTGGGCAGATGCAATCGACGTATGGGGTTTTTGTGCAAGAAATACCTGACTCGATGGGTACCTCCGTTGCTAAGATGTTGCAAAAGCACTTCATCGACGTGGGCATATCGCTGCCATGCGGCGACGTGCTCAACCAGGGTGTCATTGATTACTTTTCCTCGTCGTCGCATCATATTCTATCTTTGGATGGCGGCGTCCTCTCGGCACCCTGGGGCAACAAGAAAGTAGGAGTCCAATTCGGGTATACCCTCCGATGCCTCCGTGAGGACAGTGAGCTGGGGGATGTAATTGATAGACGCACCTCTCCACTCGGGCACTCCGCCGCAATACTGACAGGTGTGGACAAGGAGTATGCGCTTGGAGTGCAGATAGTCCTTGATGCGATTCAGTTGGTGAGTCGAGGAAAGTCATTGCGCGATATTTCGTGGGATCGAACAAGCCATACTTCCCGCCACAGCTACCTCACTGCGGAAGAGTTGTTGCAATACTGTCATGACCGGGGAATTGATCTGGTGGACAGTGAAAGTGTTGTGAAAATGCTGGTGGAGTCATTTGCACCCCCGGAAAAGAGAGAGGTGCTGCGAAAAGAATTGGACGAGGTGGTGCAAGAATGGTATGTGAAGCAAGGGGTTACAGTTTCAAAGGCATAAGTATTCAGGGGGGTGATGTAGTGTCGAAGCAAGACTCATCGATTAAGTAGCCTCAGTGGAATAACATCTGAACTCAACAGACTACTATGCACAGCTGTAGGTCGGTTAAGTTAACACTCATAGTAGTCTTATCTCATAATATTATCCTCCTCACGCCTCGCCATGGGCTTGCGTACAGTAATTCTAGTAATACTGTCAGCTAATACATAGCACTTAATGTATATAGATGTATATATATATATATATATATATATATGATATCTTTCGAGGCTAGAGAGGGCAATATCGCTGGTTTACTAGTATAGTCGTCATGAAGATGATGAAGGGTTGACATTCGGAGAAATAGTTGTGAATGTGAAACAGGACTCCTTTGTTTCATGGGTATCATGTCTCTCCAGCCCAAGAAAGTCGATTTCATGCACATGCATAAATGCGTCAATTTCCCCTTATGACACGGAATATAATGTTCCGATACAACTGCCAGAAACAGCTTAGCGTGTTTTCCTGCTCTTCCGCTGACAGGAAATAATGAATGGATAAACCACCGATCAACTCATTTAAAAATACTGCGAGCGCCTTCCTGGGAGCAACTCTAAAAATTATGCACAATCGTCGGGCTAAACGCTCATCGCTGGCTTGCTTGCCCTGTCGTGCTCGGCACGCCAAATGTGATGGGAAGCGACCGAGCTGCACCCGCTGTGGTGAGATCGGCCAGCCGTGCAGCTATGCCCCTTCGCGGCGCGGTCTCGTCTCTCGACACCCACAAAGGACAGATTATCCCATGAGCCATGCCAGCCATCAAAAAGGTGCCAGCACATCTACATTTGAGCAGGGTACGATCTCACCTGTTCCAGTAAATCTTCCGTCCATGTCCGTTGTGCCCAATGCCGATCTGGATGGCTGCAGCACCGAAAAGCACCTTTCCCGGTCGGAGAACATTGCAAATGACCCATTGATCCACTCCTACTACAAGAACTTCCACGTATGCCATCCATTTGTCCCACCACGATATCATCTGGTGGAACTATGTCAAGATCCTCGCATAGAGCATGCTCTTACTCCCTTGATTGCCGCTATGCGTTTCATGGGAAATATCTACAGTGCGCGAGAATGGTCGGTCCCGCTCAAAGACACGATCGAAACCGCCCTTGCCCACTTATCGCCGTCTGATCCGATTCAGGTTCAGTGTCGGATCTTGTACTCCGTAGCCTTGTTCTGGTATGACTACAAAGTGGATGCGCTGTCGCAATTGGACCAGGCGGCTCAGATCGCCATTGCTTTGCAGATGTTCAAGGGAGAATTCGCAGCGTCCCAGGAACCGGTCGATCTGGTCTTGAGGGAATCTTGGAGACGGACCTGGTGGACCCTGTACATTGTAGACGCCTACTACGCGGGCACCTTGGGGACGATGAATTTCAGGGTCATGGACCTTGATGCGACCGTTGAATTGCCCTGCGACGAGTCCGATTATGAGTTGGGGGTAAGTGCACACACTCTCTACCCCAATCACCAGTACCAGGGTTGGCTTATGCTTCAAATGGAAGATCATTCCCCAACCTAGAACCCTTGAAGAATTCAATCAGCGCGAGTTCATTCCCGATGATGTCCACTTCTCCTCTTTCGCACACCTCATTGGTGCCGTGCAGTGCGCCGCGTCCGCCATATCTATAACCCCCAAAGTGGCAACCGTGGAAGACTCAATGCATCTGATCCAAGCGGTCGATTGCGGCTTGGATGGATGGCGACTACTATTACCGACAGAGCAGAAGAACGTCATCAAGGCGAATGGTGACATTGATGAGCTCTTGTTCCAAGCACATCTGCTTATTCATGTGTAAGCTTCACATTTCTTCCTCGCATATGTTGCCACTCACCAGCTAGATCCACCGTTGGCCTCCATCGTCCATTGTCGGCCCTCGATTTCAATGCCATCGAGGATGTATCGAGCTGTGCCCGCAAGCCTCCCCGGGACCCCCCCACGCCGGATTTAGTAAACGTCCACACCCTCCGGGTCTTGCGGGCGGTTGAGGCACAGGTCCGTCTTCTGGCTTTACCCGCCCCAAGATTCCACCACACCCCTTTTACTACGTGTATGGTCAGCGAGGGGATACTGGCCCTGCTCTCCGCTTGCCGTATTTTTTTCAAGGGGAAAGACCTTGCCATTGCAAGAGATCAGATCCGGATGGCGCTCGGCTCTCTCAAGGTGCTCGGGGAAGTCTGGCCGAGGACAGTGAGAAATGTGGGCGAGATCCAGACAATTGCTCGGTGTGTTCTGGGACTGGAACAAGGTCCCAATGATCAGGCTATTCCTGGACCCAGTGACCCGTTGTCTTTTGGTGCGCACGGGGTGGATCCAAACCTAGCCACCGACAGTTTATCGGAACGCGACAAAAGCCCGGCTGCTTCTGTCTTCTCTATTGATGATCTATGTGGCTGGTACAACACTGGAGCTGCAAATGATTTCCCATGGGGACTAGGTGCAGGCTTATGATTGACTAATTGGTCGTGACGTAGAGAGTCAAGATTAAGCGAGCTAAGAAAGAGATACATTCGACATTGAAGAACCGTCTCAAACGGCAAGGACTATCTTCCCACGCCCGTATGCCCTCCCATTTGCTACATCATACGCTTCCGGTGCTTGGACAAGTGGATAGATGCCTGCCACGGGAGGCCGGACGGCTCCATGACTTGCCACCTCTGCAAGAAAATGCAACGCATCCGGACTGCCCCGGACAATGAAAAATAGCGCGTGTACACTGGCCTTCCGAAGTCCACGCTTCTCATGCTCCTCTACGAAGTTGAAGCTCGCCGAATCCACTGAGATCAGCACTCCTGTGCCGGCGACATACTCCCAGCATTTTTCCAAGACTTCCCCGCCCACGGTATCGACGATGACGTCGAACTTTCCGCGACAATCGTCCAGCCTGCTATACTCCACGACTTCGTCGGCTCCGAGGGCTTGGAGAAACTCGCGATTGCGAGCATTGGAGCTGCTAGCGGCGGCGACTTTTACCCCTGCGGCTGCGGCTAACTGCACGAGATACACACCCACCGCACCGGCGGCACCAGTAATCAGCACAGAGTACTCTTTTTTCGTAGCAGCGTGGAACAGTAAATCTTTCATCGTGGGTCGGGGAATCTGCGCGTGCTCAAAGAGGGCCTCGTAGGCAGTTTGCGCGCTGAGGGGCATTGCCGCTGCCTCGGCGAATGTCAACGTAGAGGGCTTCCGGGCTACCTCATCCTCCTTGACGATGGTGTATTCAGCCCAGGTAGCTGCCCGGGTGGCATTGGTCATGCCGAAAACTTCGTCGCCGGGCTGGAACTGGCTTGTGGACGAGAACACCTTCACCACAATGCCGGCCACATCGTTTCCCAAGATGGCATACTCGTGTGAGTAGGTTTCCGGCCAAGTGAGCATGTCCCGAATGACGGTCGTTGCTTTGACGCGGATGAGAAGCTCTCCGGGCGCAGAGGGTTCTGGAATGGGGACATCACGGTCCAGCCGAAGAGCGGTTGAAGGCGCTGGATTAGCCGGTGAATAGGGAGTAGATTTTGGCGAAGCAGGATGAAGACGTATAGCGATCATGATGCAGGCTCTCAAAGAAGGTGATGGGGGTGGAAGCTTCCTCATGATCGCTCGCATCCGGGGTCAACTTAAAATAACCCTTCGGATACTCCGTTGCATCACGTGCTTGTATAGCCTATCAATCTATCAATAGGCTATAGGGTACGACAATGACGGCTAGAAAAATCTCGCCACCAGGCACATCTTGACTAATATTGGGCAACCCATCATTGTCATTTTGGTCCGCCAAAACAGACATGACGAGATACATGCACTCTCGGGCAAAATACCACTCGGTTTTGATTCTCCTCTCATCATCGAAATCAATATTCTCAAATGGCCGAAGAGCAGGCGGGGTTTTGAAAACCATACAGGAAATATGACCCATTATTGACCCTTTTACTTCCATTAATTTCCCGTCCTCTAAGAATGTAGCAATCTCATTGTCCTTTCTGGATCGTATGGGATCTTCCCAAGGTTTCGGGGATATAGAATCACTTAGATACTCAACACCAAAGAAAGGGCACCAAGAGGGCAATTTGTATTGCCACAAATCCACGGGCCTGGATTGTCGACCTCGAAAGGTCATGATGCGCAAACTTCCTGTTTCCTTAGTTATAGCTTTGGCTGCTTGGCATACTATCTCTATTAGGTCCTTCTTAACGTTGACTTCGATGTTATTCCGAATCTCCTCGGAGTACAAGTTGTAGAAGGCATAAATATAATCGCGAGGGCTCGAGCAACGGCTATCAAGAAAGCTGTCGAGGTAATCATTCGCAGACACAGTCGACCCCATATCTTGGAGTTGTTGGAATCGTGGATGCCATTTAGGAGGGGAGGCTAGGTGTTTGTTAGACCTTCCTGGAAGGATTGTCCATGCAAAGATGCCACCCGGTAAATTGTCACGAAAGGTTTTCAGGGCCGAAAATGAGACTTGATCAGTGCCGCATTGTATCCTTCGGTCACGACGACCGAGTACGATTTCCTGGACAATTCAAGCACGGGACCAATATTCTCGTGTGAGAAGCTTATTCAGCGCGTCATTCATCTTCGAAGCCTCGTCAAAGTCCAATTTTTTGAGTAGTTTGAGTACATCTTGTTCTTGATCTAGACTTTGAAGGATTCTGAAAATGTTATCGCTTGAATCTTGATGTTGGCCCAGAAACGCAACAACTCTCTCGGCATTTTCATAGATTTTCCCCATCAGTGGAATTTGCACATTTTTTTCATCCTCATTGTCTTGATTAATACAAAGCGCATCAATCCAAAAGGTCACGCGTTGTTCTGCTCGTCGCAGGCAGCAGAGAGTCTCTGCCATGTTTTTCCGGACATAAAATTCTTCGCCGTTGAGAAGTATGCTTTCCTTTTCTAAGTCGGACCCCCAAACGTGAGACAAGGCACAGTAAGATGGAGGTAGATCTGTGAGGGTAGCCACTTGTATATCGCACTTGATCCTATCAGAGGATGAGCCGGGATGAATAGTGAGCAGGCGAATGCCTCTTTCGGGGAGGACCGAATAAATCTTATTGCAAACCGTTGCGTTGTGCATCGGTGGGTCTGGCTTAGTAGAGCGTACGTGTCTGATTTGTGTCTACTATCTGCCAGTTAAGTGAATAAACGGATTGGAAGTTTTCGCAAGCTCGAGGAGGAAGCGTAGACCGAAAGCTGTTAGCGAACTAGGCTAAAAATTGCCGTTTAGCTTTTCCTAGAAGAGATTTCAGGACGGTTTTGATGAGACTGGACAGCTATGAACGGTGTTCCAGAGCAGTAAGATGGGGATAGTCGATTTTGGGAAGCGTACTAGGCCCTGGGGACGGATCCAAGTATTTAAAGAGGATTCAATGGCAGCATTGAGGCTGTGCTGCCGTGCGCGACCACTGATGGCTTCTGCCTAATAAACACTACTGCGGGATATTTGTCAGCCCAACAAGAGGAACAACATCTGATTGGGCTTCTAACATTCATGTCTAACTGATAATATAAAGAATATCTCTGAAAAGTAATATTCATAAGAATTTTTGATAACATAACTGTTCTTATAAATCTTGTTAGATTAATAAATATGCCCTTTTGTCTAATTATAATTAATATAACAATAAGATATATTGACTTATTTTATAAGAAAAAGAAATCGAAGAATCCAGCATATAAATAATAAAGATAAGTGAGATAAAGCAAATAGAATAACCATAATAAGTTCATGTGTAAAAAACAAAGTAAGCGAAAGTACGTCATGTGCCTCAGTCACGTCGCTCGCCATCACACCCTAAAGGAATCCCATATGCGACGCACCAACCCCAGTGGAATAGGATTAACAAATCTCTGGTTCCTACAAACAAGCCCGGCCTTCTCATAGTGGTCGAGGCCACTGATGATGTGTGTGGCTCGATTTTAAGAGCCTTTATTCCCCAAGATAGACATACTACTGTAATCAACTCCCTAACTAAAGCCTTTTGTGGAATCTCGGCTCCTGATAGTACAATTAAATGTTCACAACTTCCTGCGCAGGAGTTGTGATCGGAATACTACTATCAATTTCTGGAATCAACTTTCAGCCGATGTCAACATAGATGGATATGGCAAAAATAATATTTGGCATCTTGGTATTTATATAATGCTGCGATTGGTGCCTAGATATCAATCAACAAGACCGTAAGGAAGTTCCACTATGGAGTAATTCATACGGACCTTATGGAACCTATTTTCTAAGTGTCTTATGCTATAAAAACAGCCGCAGAAGCAATTCTACGGTTCAAATAATACCTCTTTAATAGGCATATATCAAATAGATGAAGCAATCATGACACAAGATAGTAAGATCATACCTAAAACAACAGGTAAATCAGACTAAGGCTGCCCGTAACACTTTCGATGAGCATATAGATAGACACAGTTGAAGATATGATCACAGAATAAGGTGGTATTTCAAATTGGTCCTGCTTAGATCACATTGTCAGGCAAATTTTCCACTGGACAGCGGCGGTAAAGATCCTACCAGCGGATATATCCCTGCATCACTTTAAGAAACAGCTTTAATTAAATAGAAGACAGATGAAAGGCGCTCTGCCAGACTTTGCGACCTGACGATGCATATGGGCCGCTCTAAGTGCTTTTGGAGTTGTTTTATCATGTAGGGAGCTCTGATCAGAAACTTACAATGACTTCCACGTGTTTGCAGGAAGCCTAGACAGTTTGAATTGGGTTTATATTGATTGGAGGATGAAATTATCCTGGGATAGGTTTTCGTACTATCAGAGAAGGTATTTGCTGACGCCTTTCGTGTTTGTCTGTACTCGCTATCAAGGCACTCGGCATACGCAATGTGAAGTCGCACATTCTAAACATACACGGCATTAGGGAGCATGGGTCTCTGGTTTCTTTTGGCCTCTTCATCCGCGCTGTTGGACGCACCGCTGTGTACAAAGCCATCAGTGGCAAGGAACTATTCCCAAATACCAGTGATGTCAGGGACATGAGTCCTGCCAGTTCTTGGACTGAACTAGTTCCTTAGGCAGCTTGGAACTGAAGTTTGGGCTAGTAGATCCGGTGGTGCAGAGCCCTCCGACAAACTGGGTACCCTGCAGGAGGCTGTTCATGACCCCGGCCATGGCTTGTATGGCTTCTGTCTATTTACCACTACAGGGGTCTGCAGTCAATAGGTCTTTATATAAGATCTTATCAGATGTAGGATCAAAAATTAAAAAGGAATGTTTTACCTTACAAAAATATGCATTTGAAAAAAAGCTTTAGAAAACATGGCATACTTAGAACGAGAAGCTATACATCATCTCTCTGAAGCCTGGAACGGTAGCAGTCTGGCTAGATATGTACTAGTCATTATTCGCAAGTAAGATGAAATACAGCTGCTGTTTGGAACAAAATTCTTGGCTGTCTTATCGTTTACTTGAATAGGTACATTGTATATAATAAACAATTACCAATACTGAAGGTATTAGAATTGTTCTGCTTATTCAAGAAACTATCGGTCAGGTCAGGTCAAGTTAATAGGAATGTTTATATCTACCTGCTATATATATATTAAGCAGACTCTGGCTATATTTCTGCAGTAATTAGGTGAAATGGATGCCTTAACTACGAGACAGAATGATTAACCGCAGTTACTGACTCGTCCTTCTGAATCAGGCATGATGAGGCAGTAATGTAAGTGAATCAGACAGACAATTGTAGAGATTATCTGCTTCGTGACCGCCGTCTCAAGTAGGTAGATTGAGTGAAGAACCGGTTGGACAGCCCATCTTGCTATCCGCATACCTATTTAGTTCTACTTTAGATATAACTACGTTTGAGGAGCTATTAGATTGTACATTAGCTAGATGAGAATGAGTTTCTAATGGTGTTCCAACCTTTCCTAGGATATAAATAAACAGAATGATTGCTTTGTTACAAAGTGCTATGTTCGAGACATCCCTGCTGCTTGATAGCCAGTGATACATCGGTTTCGTCTACTTGGCACAGAGCGCCGTTTTGACGCATAAGATAGGAGGAACTTTTGTATATTATTCATTGCAGAATGGACTGCCCAACCATATCGGTCGTCCAATTTTTATGTTATGCCATAAAAAAAAAAAAAAAAAAAAAAAAAAAAAAAAAAAAAAAAAAAAACCTGCTATTTATCAATTGGCATTTACCAAGTGAGGTGGCCAACACGACCCTACTGGTATTGATAAGTTAATTCCTCATAGTTACAGTGACCCAAGGATACAATGCCGCTAGTACTTAAAGAAAACGTTGACACTTGCAGCCTAATATATAAGGATCGTGATGAATATCATATATAAATTGAAACATTGTATTTTCTAGACCAAAATTATGTGAAGAAAGGAATCAGAATCTAGGGAATGTTCACTGGCAATATGAAATACTGCTTTCTGGTAAAGCTTATATTTTTGCCGCGTCTGATTTCATTCACTCCCTGCTCATGCTGCGGAACGTTGTGTTCGTCTCTGGCTTGAGAGTTGGGCTTAGGGTAAAGCCCCGCCCATACCGTTCACTGAACTCAGGCGTTGTTTGATACTCCGCCACGTCACTTGCATCTGGCATAAGGCTGGTCTTCGAGAAAGGCTTATTATCGGCTCTCAGAGAAATAGGATGCGCAACAGTGAGATCTCGCGATAGCTGCTGTATTGTTCCGTTGCTCATATAACCTCCTACTTGTCTGCTCCTCCAGCCCATTCCTCGGTTTTTCCCATGGAGAACCTTCCCATTCGCGGAGACCATGAACTGAAGAGCGTCCCCAGTACCATAGTTTTCGATAACACTGACGGACTCCTTGAAGTTGCTATCAGCATGAGAGCATATGTCAAGACACTGCCGAGCAGCTTCCCACTCATCGCGTAGCCGCGATAAAACTTGGGTATCTTCGTCAGAGGAGATTCTACGTTTAGATTTAGCAAGAATTTGATCCATCACCTCCTGCATATGCTTTTCCAGCTTGGCAGTTGTTGCAACAAGGCTCCTTTTACATTCCTGTAAGCCTTTGTTCGTGACAGTCTCGGGCGACGAATCAGCCATCTCAGATCCTCCAGCTGGGCTCGTGTCGTCGGATAGGAGCTGTATCTGGTCGATATGGTCTGACAATTGGGCGCAAATCTGAAGGCATTTCTCTGTGCTCCGGCGCTCCTCCTTCAGGGAGTACAGTTCGGCTGCATCCGGATCGGATAGAGTTCCGTCCTTTTCAGCCAGCTGCTCCAGCTTTTGATCTATACTCTCGAGTCGGGCTACCAGGTCCTCTTTTGCATCCTGAATGAGAGCCTCATAGTTCTCAATGCTCTCAACAGCGACCGCCGATTTGCGTCTGGTGCGGAATCAGAAATCATGACGACGGAGAAGTTTGATAAGATACCAATGTCGTTGGGGTGGGGATGGCTTACAGAGTTGCATCAGTTAGGGCAATATTGATTGTGGCCTTATACCCTGCCAACAAGTGACGGAAATCATCGATATTATCACCCAAGTATGTGATTCTTGCCCAGTCACGGAAGCTAGTCCGATTATTGCTCGATCTTGACACGCACCGCACCAACTCCTGCTGAAACTCCTTGCAGGCATTGCCACAACGAAGTAACGGCAAATCTAAGGCTGAGAGATTTGCATCAGAGTTCGATTCAACTAGCTCAATAAGGGGCGCCAACACAGCCCTCAAAGCTTCCAGCTCGTCGAGAAGCTCGCGCACACGCTTTGGGTGCGAACGGAAGCTGTTCACCGTCTCATAAAGCGAGACAGTGCCCTGAAATGCGAAAGTTGCCAAGGCAAGTATTCCAGAGGCGAGTCCGATTGGTTCCGCCATGGTTTTCTGTGTGCAGTGGTATCGCTTGACTGACTGTGCAAAGCACCAAGAAAAAAGGTGAACTAGTTTAGATGAACAAGGCGAGATCAAAAGTCCAGAGGCAGTATAGGTAAGGATTTTAGGATTGTAGATGAATGGGATATTCCTGGGGGCTAGATGGGCTTTTATCACTTCAATGCAGTATCACCTGGTCAGGCTGTAAACGCCGTGTTCACATACCAACTGCTGCTCTGTGGTGGGCAAAAGTTCCAAGGTGGTCGGGGTGGGGCGGCGGCGGCTGCTCAAACGATCGGCGTCGTGGGGAGGCAGTGTGCATTTGTCCGATGGCTGTTACGTATTGCCCGCAATACTAGTGCGGGCGCGTACGTGAGATTTCGAAGTGGATGGCTATTCCTGGCTGCGTATTTCTGGAGTGAAGCCGGTCACATGGCAAGCCGCCTGTGGAGACCAGCGACAAAAGTTCATCCAATGGCATCAATACTACCTTTCGTCGGTAATTGTAGCCTATTGTAAGATG